GGGCCCTGGCGAATGGATTAGTCATGGTGGGGCGGGAGAAAGGGACCAGAGTCCTCCTGAAAACTGAGATTACAAGCCGGGGGCGAGGGGCCGAGGGGCCGAGGGGGCGAGGGGGCGAGGGGCCGAGGGGGCGAGGGGGCGGGGGCCGGAGGGGAAGGAGGGACCGCGGGGCGTTAGGTCGCGCTCCCTCAGGAGGAGCATGGTGTTTGTCTCCTCGTGTTTCTGGGCGGGGAAGTCTTGGACTACATCCATGTCGCTGCCCACCTCGGTCACCGCTTTTCGCGGCCAGTCTGCGCAGATGACAGACTGAGCTTCCTTCCCCCGGCTCCCGGGGCTTTGTGAGGGGACGGAGGAGGGAAGGGGACCTGGGGGTGCTGGCGGCTGCCCTTTCAGTCGCCGAGAGCCAGCCCCACAGCCCCAGTCCTTTCAAGTGAGCATCCCCTCCCGGGATAAGACACCGTCTCGACCGGGGGAGGCGGGACTGGGGGGACGACACAGCTCTCCCGGCCACTTCCTTCCCTCCCTCCTCGGGCCTCCCCCAGCCCATCCCGGAGCCCGGGCCTGCTGGGCTTCCAGCCGGCCCCTCACGCTCAAAGCAGATGCGCATTTGGAGGAGGGACTTTGGCTAGGGATGGGATTTAACCAACTCCTTGGGGACCTTGATTCCCAGGGAAGAATGGCAGTGACCCAGCACGGATTGGGGACACAGTCAGGCAGCCCAGAAAGAGGGAGATTATACAAACAGATGTAAAGACCCACTAACCACATGTGTCAACCTGTCTACAAGGCTGGGACAGGATATGAGGTGCGAAGAATCCCGTTTCAACCAAGTGGTGTATCAAAAAAAGATGCCATCTCAATATTGGTTTATGTTTATTTTCCACTGACCCTATGGGTGAAGAGATCCTTTACCGTTACTTCACCTGGATATGTTACAGCTCATCCGATGTTATATCTCCAGGTAATATGACCCTGCTGTTTGCTCTTTCTTCTTTTCACCCTCTCTGGCACACTAAAGTTTAACCTTTCCTTTTTTCTTAGCAAATGAACAAGTCCAGAAGCTATAATATTCAGTTGAGTGGTTCAAGTAAACATATATTTATTGTGGCGGTGCTAGTAATTTGAAAATGAATAAGACAAAGTTCCCTGCAGGAGTTTACAGTCTAGTGGAATGCTCCAATAGTCTATGCAATTTCTAGATCAGTCAATATCAAGTGTGTTGCTGACAAGAAATAAAGAACTGTGTTATATATGCTGGAACAAGCCCTGGTAAAGGACCGTCCAAGGACTGTTAATGGCATGAGCTTAAAAAGATAAGACTTTTTAATCCACATTCCACTTAAATGTCTTTTTAAGGTTTTTTTCATAGATAGTATCGTTAATGTTTCTCTTACTACCTTTTTCTTCCGTCTTGGGGCATATATAGCAAATGTTTCCTAATGAGGAAATAAAGTGTAAATAAAGAACATTGAGAAAATATAAAGGAAATTATCAAACATATTGACCTAATTCATGGATCAAAATAATTCTGCTTCTACTTTGTTCCTTCGCAGGTTAAGAGATATGGAAATCTCCATGAGGATTTGGAGAAGAGTCCCATTAGTTATTAAAATTCTGGACTAGCTCTATTAGGAAAGGTAAAGAAACCAAGAGTCTTCTAGGAAAGAGGAGTTATAATGGTTTACTAAAGCTTTTCAAATACAGCTGTCAACTAGGTGTTATGCCTTGCTGGCGAACTAAATAAGAGAAAACAGGCTTATGATCCAACTGAAGAGCTTTAGGTGAGAGCTAAGGAAGACATGTTCTGACAATCTTTAAGAATGTTTATTGAAGCAGCTCTTTGGAGAGTTTTTTCAAAGGTAGATTTAAATGTGTCCATTTTAAGAAAAGAAACTAACCCTTCTGATCATGGAGAAGATGCCCCACACTGTTTCAATCACTTTTACATATATTAACTCAGTCCTTATAATGGCCACAGGTATTACTATACCCAATCTCTAGATGTAAAAATTGAAGTTCAAAGGTTAAGCAGTTTACCCAAAATAATATAGCTGGTGGTGAGTAGCAAGTCAGGATTTGAATCCAGCTCTGTGTTGTCACATTCTTTCCACTATCCCAGCCACCTTCCCCTAACTGAAAATTGGATAAGGGACCAAAGAACCAATGAGACTCCGGCTTCCTGAACTCATTCAGAGCAGACACAGTATCTTACCCAGCTGTTTTTGCCATACCTACCACAGTACCTAACCCCTAGTAAGGGTTGCAGTAAATGTGTTTAAATTGAATTGATGTGAACTTGATCCTCTCTGAAGAGGTAATGTTTCAGCAAAGACACCAAGAAAGAGGAGTCAGTCATGTGAACATATTTGTTTAGAATGTTACAAACAGAGGGAACAGCAAATACAAAGACCCTGAGATAGAAGGATGTTTGGTTGTATTTGAGGAACAGCCAGGAAGTCAATATGATTGGAGCTAAGTGAGAGAGAAGCAGCCAGGTAAGAGTTGCCTTTGGAGAGGAAGCCAGGCATCAGATCATTTAGTGCCACTGCCACTCACTTTAAAAAGATTAATTCCCAAGAACACATGATCAACAGATTATAATGCTTTACAAGAAAAAGGAAGCATGCTCACATTGTTAGAAATAATAATGATTTATTGAATGACTGTTATGTGCAAGTCACATAACAGTGGTTCACAATCAGTCAGTGGCAGAAACAGGATTTGACCCAGGTCTCTTTGACTCCAAAACCTGCTCTTTGTAGTATACCACATTTTCTTGTTTGAAAGACTATGAATAAAGAGAAAGAGATTCATGCATGCCTTCATTCAACAAGTAATTATTGTTCATTGCTATATGATAGGCACTGTAGAAATAGTATTAAAATGTAATACAGCATTTTAATCTTTTTTGTATGATTACATTCTTACCAATCATTTGTTTTTAAAACTTTGCAGGTAGATGGACTATAAGGCACTTGCCCATCAAACTGCTCAAGAAATTTTAGGTTACAATCAAGATAAATCAGGCTGGAAAGTGGTTAAAATTTCAGTAAGAAAACAACTTAAATATGTTTCAAGAGTTTGCTTTTTAATGAGAAACTTGTAAAGACTTTTTTTTGTTTCATATTTTCTCTTATAAACCAAAAAAATATATTTTTACTTTTGTTTTTTTGGGGGGTTTTGTTTTTCATTTTTTCTGTATCTGACAGCTAATTTATTTGTGGATTTTTATTCCCCTTTGAGAAGAAGATAACTGTTTCCAAGAAGGCTTCTAAAAAATTCCCGGGAAATCTGTGAGTACAATTTCCTATTTACAGTCGTTGTTTTGAATTCAGTGGCATTGATGTATCTAAAATTCAATGCTGCTTCATTACCTATAACACATTATTTGATAGTGATCAGGAAATGGAAATTAATTATAAAGTCACTGCGTTGAAATGTGATATTAATAAAATAGAGCAATTACGTACCATCTAAGCATTTTCAAACCTGAAGACAATCAGAAAGAAATCCCTTCCAGTGAATAATTCACTAAAATAGCAAATTTTCATTTCAAGAAATAATTACTATAAAAGCAGATTGGTGTTTTCTTGCTAACAGATGTTGTGGTCTTTTAAACACTTCACCTTTCCATTAAATTAACCACTAAAAAATAAAGTTTATTTCCCCAATTTATTTCTCTTGCTGATATATGTAATTTTTCTGTAAGCTGCTTTTAAGGATATTTTTGAGGATCCTTTTAGTTCAAATACGAGTACATTAAGGGAAATTGTGCTGACGTTTTTAATCTTATTTTTAAGAGTTGTTCATTCATTGTTCATGATATCACATCAACGCCATCAGATCATCATATGTTATTGAGAAAACCAAATTTTATTCAGTTTCTTCTTTTTTTTTTTGGAGTCTACTCCTTCTTTCACTTAACTGATTGCGCCGCAAGGCTGGCCCCAGCTCCTTCTTTCAACTACTTCATTGTGTGCTTCTTGCTCTTTTTTCCATCTGACTAAAATTTACCTATCGTGTGTTTCAATCTATTTTTTACTATAGGACAAAGCTGGTATGCTTTCTCCTGTTCATTTTAATAATTATCAAGAGGATAATCCCTACATTTGTTATCTGAATAATTAATGATTCTAATAGTGGCACTTTCAAAAATAGACTGGCGAGGGAGTGGGTAAGGTCAAGCCCAGGCACAACAGAGGAATAAACTTGAATATGTTAGTTTTTCAGTGTCTCACAGATCAGACCAGTGTAGACAGCAACCTATGCATCAAGGAAACCTTGGAAGATAGTTATTCATTCTACAAATACTTTCTGGGTATTTATATGCAAGGTGCTATACACAAGGCCTAGAGCCATTTAAAGAATAGCCTCAATTAGGCTGTTTTAAAGTTTTATTGAAATTTTTTATCAGAGTTATTTTACTCTTACATGCAAAACTCAACAGACAAAAAATTGGAACTTTTTGCACTCACATTTTAAGTGACATTTATATGCACTGTATATTAGTTATTTATTGATGCACCATAATATCTTACCTATATCTTAGTGACTTAACAGACATTTATTATCTCATGGTATCTGTGGTCAGGAATCCAGGTGTAGCTTAGCTTGGTGCCCCTGCCTCAAGGATTCTCACAAGGCTGCAGTCAAGTTGTCAGCTAGGGCTTAGGTCTCATCTGAAGGCAGCTCTTCTTCCAAGCTCACTTACGTGGTCATTGGCAGGATTCAGTTCCTCATGGACTGTTGGACTGAGGCCCTTAGTTCCTTGCTGCCTCTAGGCTGGAAGCCTTCCTCAGTTCCTTGACATATGGGCCTCTCCATAGTGCTATTCACAACATGGCAGTTTGCCTACCTCAAAGTGAGGGGTCTAGGAGAGAACAAGAGAAAGAGCAAACAAGACAGACTGAGCCAAAGTCTTTCTGCAACCTAATCTTGGAAGTAACCTCCCTTCACTTTTGTAATATTCAGTGTATCAGAAATGAATCACTAGATTCCAGCCCTGACTCAGGGAAAGGGGATTACACAAGTGTGTGAATACCAGGAAAGTGGAGATCACAGGGGGCCATTTTACAGGCTGCTATCAACATTGGTTTTCAAAACTCTCTTTTAATTCTTTGTGTGTGTGTGTGTGTGAGGAAGATCAGCTCTCTGCTAACATCTGCCAATCCTCCTCTTTTTTTTTGCTGAGGAAGACTGGCCCTGGGCTAACATCCATGCCCATCTTCCTCCACTTTCTATGGGACGCCGCCACAGCATGGCTGTGCGTCGGTGTGCGCCCGGGATCCGAACTGGCAAACCCCGGGCCGCCGCAGCAGAGCGCGCACACCCAACTGCTTGCGCCACCGGGCCGGCCCCTCTTTTAATTCTTTTTTATAGTTGAGTTATAGTCCAATAAATATCAAACACAGCTTCAAAATTCAGATTGATAAAAGGTACATGAAACTCAATGTTGCATGCTTGTTTTCTTAAGCACAACCCACTGATTCTTTTAAATTTGCCATGTTTGTGTACAGAAGGAGAGTATGACTGCAGCACTTTGTATTTTTAAAAATATCTGTGTTATTCTAAATCGGCTGTGGCAGATAGTTAGCTTCTTACAAATGAAATCAATCTGAACATTTTGGTCAGGTTGGTCTTCCTCAGTCAAAAGTTCACCTCCTCCAGCCTGGTGTGAAAAAGTGAGATTGCAGGTAAATCAAGGGGAAAAGCCAAGGAAGCTTAAAATTTTCCCAGTACTTCACATAAAGCTCCCCGGTCTCATTTACAGAGTTGTAAATAATCAAAGCAAGAAATATATGCATATGAATTTATAATGGGCAACTGAATGTAAACACTGTACACTTTGGGGATATATATCATGGTCTAATGCAGTTTGCCAAACTAATATCTGGGAGAAATGTAATCCCTCAAAGTGCCCTGTGGGGAAAAAATGGGTTGCATTGTCAAATAAGTTTTTTAAAACACTCCAGACTATATTCCCTTCTTGGAGATTCATTCTAAGGTTCTAGAAGTCCTAAAGTAAAGAAACCTGTTTAACTTGAATTCGGACTTTTCCAAATGTTTTTGACCAAGAACATGCTTGTAAAACATTGGTCTGGATAATGGATCACTGATCTCAGATTGGATTCTAATAGAAGCTCTAGCTGACTAGATATGTAAGAAAGAAGTGATTTATTTTTCATTAGCTCCCTGCTACCATCCTAGTGCAAGCCACCATCATCTCTCATCTGAATTATTTCAGTAGCCTCCTAAAGGACTCTTTGTATATACTCTGACTCAACTACATCCTATATTTCAGACAATGGCCAAAGTAGATTTTTGAAATATAATTCAGATTGTGTCACTTCCTTGCCTAAAAATCTTCTAAAGGCTTCCTATGGCATCTAAAATAAAAATCCAAACCTTTTATTTTTCCCTGCAAGGCACTATCTGGCCCCCGCCTACTTCTCTGACCTCTCCTACCACTTCACCTTCGCTCTCCTTGTGCTACAGCCACAACAGACTACTGTTGCACGAAGGCACTGAACTTAAACCCATCCCAGAGCCTCCGTAGTTGCTATTCTCTTGCCTGGCATGTTCTTCCCCCAAATCTTTCCAAGGCTAATGTCATTTTTGTCCTCAAGATCTCAGCTTCATTGCTCCTCTTCAGAGTAATCTTCCTGGCCACTTGGCCAAAGTCCTCAAATACACCCAGCCGCTGTTTACTACACTACTCTGCTGCTGTCTTCTTCATGGCACTTATCACTATATGAAATTGAGCTGCTTCATTTGTTTTCTTATTTATTATGTCTCCCTTATTAAAATATAAACTTGATGAGAATAGGAACCTGAATACGAACCAGACTAGAAATAAATCACTCTTTTTCATTGCAATATCCCTAGCACCCAAACAGTGTCTGTCACATAGACACTCAATAAATATTTATTGAATGAATTTATGGACTTCGGTTATATTATATTGGCTGCCAAATAGAAAGTATTTAAATATCTTTACATTTACCTTATAACTGTAGTACAAAAAAATAAACTGACAATATCTTCTCAGTACTTACATCTTTTCTTAATTTACCATCCAAAAAGTTCCTTTTGTGGTTAGCTGTGAGCACTTGCCTATATGCATGAGAAGAAAGCCAGTTCTTTGTTTGGAATTTCTTTCCTTTCTACCCTCAAGAGATGAAATACAGACCTACCTGGACATAGTTCATTCCCCTAAATGTTAGCAGCAGCTAAAATCTACTAATCTCTTACTATATGTCAAGCACAAGGCTAAATAATTTTCTTTCACTTTTTAATTTACTCATCCTGTATCCCACAAGTAGCTTCTATTGCCTGCTATTTTTCCTGTGTGTAGATCACACTTTTCATGTTTCTTTGCATGCATGCCTCAGTTTTTTCTTGGAAACTGAACACTTTAGGTAATATATTGTAGTGATTCTGAATACAGATTCCACCCATCCACCCAGGGATTGTTGTTGTTGTTTGGGCATTTGTTTATTTGGTTAGTGATTGGTCTGGACTAGTTCTGTGAAGTCTATTTCAAAGCCCACAGTCTGCAGCCTCTGTTATCCCTGCTCTGATTTTTTTCCTTGTTTTTATCTTTTAGCCTAGCTTCCTATAGTCACCCCTGGCTCAACATAAGCCATTTATTGGTCACAAGTTGTGCTTAGTTCCCAAAGCTAGTAGGATTTCTACCCTTTATTGTCCAATCTGTGTGTGGCTTGGAGACTGCACAGTTCAGGGAATTTTATGGCTTTGCCCCGCATTTAGCCAGGGACCGGTAGCTTGGAAGTTGTGTCACCAGTCATTCCTCATAGGGCACAGCCTTGGGCATACACACATTCTTCCAGACCACCAGCCATGAGTATGATTTTATTTTAAAGTGGTCAGAATAGCTTATTGTTCTGTCAGTGATGAGTCAGAGGTTATTCTTAAGTCTCTTGAGCCAATAAGACTTCAGCTCTTTGCTAATTAATCTATGTGTGGCTTGGGGAATGTTTGCAGGTTGGCCAAGCCACATCTTGGACTGATTGCTCCTAAGCAGGAGCAGCCTAGTACATTCACGCTGATTCCTTTGAGTAGGGGCAGCCTATTGCATCTACACAGACTTCTAGACTCCCAGGCATGGGTGTGAACTTAAGAGGTCCACTTAGCTGTATCTTTCCCTGGTTCTCTCAGTTAAACTTCTGGCTGGTCTTCTTTGTTGCTATTAGTTTCATGTAGCTATTAGCCTCTTTTAATTGTTCACCAACAAAATCTCTATTGTTTTTGAAAATTTCTCCGTGTTGTGTTT